CCCACTTCGCCTTATTCGCGTACTCTTACCGCGGCTCATACCGCGGCTCATGCTAATTAGAAAGTATATCGCGTACTCGCCTGCGCTCCGTGCCACTGCGGCCACACACAGCGCCAGAGCCCCCACGGTGGCAGCGAACGTGGCCAGCACCAGCGCAAAGGACGCCACTCGCGAGCCCCCAGCAGTGAGACCCACGAGGGGGTAGAGACACGCCGTGTATAGGCCGGCGGGGAGGGCGCGGAGCAGCACCGCATCCAGCACCTGTTTGCGGACATACATACACACCCACAGGTGCGTGTGTGTGCGTGTGTGTGTGCGTGTATATGTGTATGTATATGTGTGTGTATTTTTCTCTGTTACAGTTCGATCCAGGCCTGATGCTGGCTAGGGCCACAACCACCGAAGCACTCTCCTCCTAAAGCGGGAGGAGAGGCGCGTGTGGCCCCGCAGTCCCCTCCAGCTCGACCGAGGGCGTGCGACCCATCCTGTGTCTCTACGACTCTACCTCATGTAATCGATGATGAAAGAGCGCACGGTGGCTACGAAGGCCCTCTCACAACCAACCTCAGCGCGCGTGTGGCACAGTTCTGCCCAGGCAGCCTTTGCACCATTTGCAGGTGCGGCTGCCCACCCTGGGTGAGTCCTGACACCAACCGGGCGCCTCTTCCCGCGACGGGCCGTATGTGTGTATGCATGTCGTTATGTGTATCACCATTCCCACGCCCAACCCCCGTCCCCCCTGCCTTCCCCCCCCAGGCCCACCAGTCGCGGCAGCAGGTACGCCCCCGCTCCATAATAGTGCCCCGCCACCTCCCTGGCCACCAGCGCCCTCTCGCGCGTGATGCCATCCACCGAGGTGAGGGAGGTGAAGCCGAACAAGCACAAGCTGAAGAAGATGGCACCTGGGGGGGGAAGGGCGGGGAAGGGAGGAGGAGGAGGATGGGGTGAGGGAAAGGGGGGGCTGTGGGCGTGGGCGTGTTTTTTTGGAGTGAGAGGGTCAATTTGCAGCGATTGGTGTAAGGAAATGTAGTACATTCACTTTTACCACCACATTTTCGTAAAAATCGATATCGTATAGCATAGGACAGCAACAGCAGCGCCACAGGGCAGCAATACACAGAGCAGCCGCAGCCGCAGCCGCAGCCGCATGGGCGCCCCCCCCCCCCGGCAGCCCCACATCCGCAACGGCCCCACCGGCGGCGTTCTGCATCCCCGTGAGGTCCTGCTTCTGCCGCAGGAAGATGAGCCCAACCACCAGACCCGCGGCTACAGCCAAACCGCAGTGCAGCAGCAGCAGGCCGGGGGTACGCGCCATGTCGATCCCGCAGCGCCAAAACATCAGGCAGCACGACCGCCACCAACGCCGGACCACATCGCAGCTGCTGCCTCCGCTCTGGCAGCTGCTGCCGCCGGCGGCCGCAAAGATAGCGGGAGTGGCGGCGGCGGAGCAGCCGCCGCCGCCGCCGCCGCCGCCATCTTTGCACATGGCATCTCCGCCGCCAGCGCCTGTGCCGACTGCGTTTGTTGCGCTGTCGTACACGGGTCCTGCGTCACAGAAGGCCGGACCGACATCGTCGTCCTTCGAGCCGTACAAGCCCTTGCCGCCGCTGGCGGCGCCGGCAGCGCCGGCGTCGGTACCGCCTCGCGGCGCGATACTGTTGTTGGTCTGACGCCAGCAGCGGGGCGACCAGGTGTTCGCAGCGGAGGAGGAAGGTGAGGAGGGCCGCGTCGCGACGGTGGCGTCGTCGTCGCCGCCGTCGTCGTCGTCGTGGCTGTCCGCCGTGCCGGGCGGCTGCGCCACACGAGTTGCGACGTCCGACGGGACGCGGCGCATCGCCAGCCGCGCGCCCAAGCCGAGCCGTCGGCCTCGGCTGGCGCCGCCGCCGAAGGCTGCGCCTTCGTCAGGTCCCCACGGTGCTGGCGTTTCCGTACGGCGCGCCGCTGCCTTGGCGGCGGCGATGGCGCCGAGCTCCAGCGGCGACGACTCCGGTACGGATGCGCAGCTGTCGTGATTCCGAGTCAGTAACGGCGGCCGCGACGTTATATTACCGGGCAATGCAGGAGAGGGATCAGTAGCCGCCGTCACCGTCGCTGCCGCTGTGGCGTCGCTGGCTGCGGCGCCGCCGCTACTACTGATGTCTGCGCTGCCGCTACGACTGCCGCCGCCGCCACCTTTCTGCACACTGGTACAATCACCGTCGGCGACGATGGATGTATCGTACTGTACCGCAGAGCCCTTCACAGCGACCACATCCGCCGCCGTGTGCGCTTTAGCGGCGGCGGCGGCCGCCGCCGCCACCGCGTCCCTGGACTTCGCCGCCGCCACCGCCACGAGGGCCCCCGCCGGGGCGCGTCGGTTGGCAAGCTGCATGAGATGCTCGCATATGGTCCGGCCTGAAAGGGTTTTAGCGGTTTTGTTTAGGGAGGTACTCTGGGGGGGAAGGGGGATGATCCCAACAGGGGATTGGGGCCCGCCGGCAATGGTTTCTGGGTTTTCGTTGCAGCTTGGTTTTCTCATCCCATAATACGGATTGGGTTTTATGGATTGAAGGGCTTTCAGACCCAACGAAACGGAAGCCGCATTTCGAGAGATGTGCTTGCTTCGTGGTTTCGCATTGCTTCGGGGTTTTATGAAAATATATGAAAATATATGAAAATATATGAAAATATATTTCATATGAAAATATATGAAAATATATGAAAATATATGAACATATATGAAAATACCGTAGTGCTACTTATAGTTCGTGCTACAATAATTCGGGGTGCGCCACGAATATGTAGCACGTACAAATTCTAAGGTATCCTAAGGGACCGCAGCCCCGAAATATAGTACCCTCCGAAGCCGGTCGATCAAACTTCGCAAAAACTAGGATTTCAAGGCGGAAATCAGCTCTTAAATGTAAAAAATGTAGTCATAAACGTAGGACATGAACGTCGCTCGAAAACGTGCAAGACAGGCAACCCTGCTTCAATGCGGGATGAAATCGCTAGCACCAAACGCTCCGGTGAGCGACCGAGCTGGATTTGCACCAGTTAGGCTTGATGATGCTGTTGTTGAGGCCCAGCGTGAGCGAATGGAGCACGAGGAGGTTGCTAGGCGCGAGCGCAATGCGGTCAATGCTACGGCAGCCGGCGAGGCGAGGCTTGCGCTCACGCCGCAGCCTGGCATTCGACCTGTTGGACGTCCTCTTCAACAAATCCGCGGGTCAACCATGGCTCGGCTGCAGTTCGCACTGGTCCAGAATTTGCTAGGGCGTTTCCAAAGTGCGAAAATGGTGAGAGACCATGAGCCTAAGAGTTCCCGGTGGAGGGAGACTGACTGGAAGCTGCGGTTTGAAAAGCCCCGAAACTTTGGAAGGGGCCCCGAAATTTTGTATCATGCCCGCAAAATCTGGTCCGGCCTTCCCCGAAATTCAAAGAGCACGTACAAATTTCAGCAAGTTTTTTGACCCCTCCCCGAACAAAGCGATCACGAACTATAAGTAGCACTACGGTATATGAAAATATATGAAAATATATGAAAATATATGAAAATATATGAAAATATATGAAAATATATGAAAATATATGAAAATATATGAAAATATATGAAAATATATGAAAATATATGAAAATATATGAAAATATATGAAAATATATGAAAATGCAAATCGAGAGCTTACGGCTTCAGGAGCAGCGACAACAGCAACAGCAGCAAGATGACGCCGCCGCATCCCCCGTCGCAAGGTTTCTTTTCATTACGCCCCCGCACGGCCCCACATGGCTCCGCCGATGACCCCCCCAAAAGGTTGACGCGCCCTTTCCACCCCAACTCCTCCTCCTCCTAGCATCTAACAACCTTGTTCGCCGCCCGCGTCCCAACTGGAGGACTAAAACTGTCCCGGAATGTAATAGTCCGATTTCATCCGATTGACAAAACTGTAAATTTGGCAATAAATATTTACTGGAACATAAGAACATTATAACTAACTACAACTCGACGGACTAAATAACTGATGTGTTCATTTTCCGGCCCGCCCGGCCCACCCGGGGGACAGGGCCAGCCCGCCGCCGCGCAATGCAACGCCGCGGCAGCCGGCGGTCCGAAGTACCCCAGTCGGCCCCCCACCGCCAGCAGCATCAACCGGTCCAGGCAGTCCACCATCTCCGGCGACGGCTGGTGGAGCGACATCACCACCACTCGCCCGTGAGCCGCGACCTGCGGGGGCGGAGGGGCGGGTAGTGGAGGGGGCCCCCCCCGGAGGGGTGGGGTGGGGGGATCTGGTCATTCTCTAGGTCAGTCGGGGAGTGGGGGTTTGGGTTTCAGGGGAGGACGGCAACAACACGGTGTGCGTCTTCCATGTTGCCGTAATGTCATTATAATGACGCTGGGGGTGGGGTTTGGAGGGTGGGGGAGAGGCGGGGGCATAGAAGCGCAACGCTGTGCGGCGGTTGCAATACCGGCTTAACACCACCGAGATCGCGCCTCACCATCATCATATAAGCATAATCATCATCATCAACATCGTTCCAGGCATCACCATTACCCGTCGAGGAAGCCAGTGACCCCACCCCACCCCACCCCACCCCAAGCCCCGACTCACCGCCTTGCAAGTCATGACAAGGTTGGACGCCGCCCAGCTGTCCAGACCGGATGTGGGCTCGTCCAGAACCAGCAGCCGGGGGGAGATGACCAGCTCCATGCCGATGGTCACACGCCGCCTTTCGCCCCCTGGTAGGCAGTTTAATGTTTCCCAGCGCGGTTGGAAGTTGTCGTAATACGTCATCCCAAATGAAGGTGCGACATACAAAGTGAAAGTACGACATACAAACAGAATCCATACATTTATATTGAATTTGGATTTAAATCGAATCGAATTTTAATTTTAAATTGAATTGAATTGGATGCGAATTTGTGCAAATCTAGTGGAATCTTCCATCCATAGCTGCTCCCTCTCCATTGGCCCATTTCGTCTAATACTTTTTTTTCGGCCGCAGCCGCTGATTTATATTTTGTACCAATAGTTTGCATTTTGCAGTTATTCAAGGGGAATTATCGCCGACTGTATGTCAAAGCACAACTCGATTATGTATGCGACGTCTGTAAGGAGCATGATACAAAATTAGGACCCAGTAATTTCCCTACTAGTAATAGTAGTGGTATGATGTGGCATCCACCACCTACCACCCCTAAAATAAAAAAAGTGAGACCTCTCATGCAAAGCATCATGCAACCCACCCACCCACCCACCCAGCACACCTTGCAGCTACTTTCTCCAACCAACGGCCAAATGTCTTGACCGAGTTTATAGAACAGGGCTATATGTTGGTACCATATATCTGCCGCATACACGCACTTGTACAACAGACATGCACGCACCCACCACTCACCGCTGATGCCGCGTGCCGCTGCCCCCGCACCCGCAATTCCCCCTCCAGCTGCCCCGCTGCCCACCCCCACCAAGCGGGACGCCACGCGCCCCAGTCCCAGCTCCGATATGACGGCGGCCACACGCGCCTGGCAAATTATAGCCATTGCGTGCAAGTCTTGCTTCTATCCCATCCAAGTCTGGAACAAGTACGCTTTGTGTTCTAAATAATCAGATTTTTCCTCAATAAAATTATATTGTTCTTTGTTTTGGATAACGCGGGAGAGAGCGGCGGCGAAGGCGGCGGAGGATGGATGGTACGGCAGCGGCAGCGGCAGCGACAGCAACAGCATCGGGGGGTTGCGAAATGTGGCACGAGTGCATGATTATGTATTTGTTTAAACATAAAATGTGTATTTGCGTGTGTTGAAGATGTTCTGAGCCGCGCGATTCGCGAAATGACGATGATGGTCGTACACGATGGTGGGAACAACACTAAGCGAGCTCCAAATAGTCACCAGCGACATGTGGTCGCACTTACCTGGTGAAACACGTGTGCGCGTACGTACATACATAACTTACATACATACAAGGCTGGGATGTTTAATTCGTTGCTAACGATTTGAAGAATGAAAACAGAGTGGCTGTAGTGGCTGTAGTGTAGTGGCTGTGGTGGCTGGGTTGGCGATGAGGTGGTGTGGGTATGAGAGTGTGAGGTGGGGGGAGAGCCCGTGTGTGGGGTCCAGGCAGTCAGGACACTCAACGGATCGAGGGTACCTCCTGCGCAAACGGCCAACAAACGGCCAACAAACGCCCAACCAACACCCAACCAACACCTAACCAACGCCTAACCAACACCTAACCAACGCCCAACGAACACCCGCTCACCTTGACCTTGTGCGGGGGGGTGCCCGCTGTCAATCTCAGAGCCGCCGAATAGCCCACACACTCCGAAACCGTCAATGAGGGCGGCAGTACGTCAGATTGCGGCACCAGGCCAGTTACGCGGCGCAGACCCACGGGTCGGTGCTCGCCGCCCAGCGACATGGCGCCTGTCACACGAGCCGTCGAGGGCAGCTCCGCAAAGGAACTGCGGCGACGGCGGGATGGCGGTAGCGGACTAGGGTTTTACGTGTACGGTGGCGGCGGAGATGAATGAATGGCGGCAGTAGCGGCAGAGAAGCGGCTGCCGTACATGTACGGAGCTTTTGGGCCACTTGGGTCAGCACCCGGAATACACAGCCGAAATAATCACAACGTCATGATATGACAGTTTGTATACACACATATACACGCGCGCGCAAAACACACGTGCACACACGCGCACACCCCCCACGCACATCCCCCTCCACACACACGCAGATAGGCACCAAAGATCCTCCAAGACGCCGTTCAGCCGCGGCCCTTCAAATTCACATGTAAACGCGCCCTAGGAGAACACACAAACACAGATCCATCCACCCAAAACACACACGCCCAAAGACACACATGCACCCCGCCTCTTCCCCTTTCCCCCCCGGCCCCCCCATCAAATGGCCCCTCCTAAACACCCCCCTCGCATCAGTCTTTCCTTGGCATCACCTTCACTCTCCCGTGGTTCGTCCTCCCCCCCCGGCCCACCTGGACAGGACGCTAAGCAAAGTGGACTTGCCGCTGCCGCTGGGGCCCACCACGCCCAACACCTCGCCCTCCAGGGCGAATCCTGTACATAACGACAGACCGACACGAAAATTTCATTGCGGCACATGCACGAACAAATAGTACGCGTAGCCGCTTGGTGAAACCTGCCGTACTGAGCAGGGATGGGCGATATGTACTGAGCGACTGACAATTGAGTCCAAGTGGCGCAGAAGCCTCTCACTCTGTAACAACAACAACATACTGAGCGCGTGCAGACATGGCAGTAGTTGCAGTAACAGCAGCAGCAGCAGCAGCCCCACCAGATACTCCACTAAGGATCGGCCGCCACTGCCGCCGCCGTGTCGAGCCGTCGTCCGTGAACGCGCCTCTGGTGGCGGTCCCGGCCGCCGCCGCCGTCGCCACCGCCGGCAGTCCCGTCGGCGCTGGCGACGGCGCCCTCGACAGCGGCTGTAGCGCTTCCGCGGTGTGCGACGGCGGCTCGTCGCCGCCGCCTGGTGCCCAGGACCACTTGCCGCAACAGCGCATGCCGCCGCCGCCGCCGCCGCTGGCACCGCTTTCATCGTCCGTACTCCGAGTAGTTGCTCGTCCAAGCGCCGGCAGGTCATCCCGCGGATGATGATGACCATAATGGTGATAGTGACGGCGCCGACGATACCGGGAGAACAAACCGTACGGCACCTCCACCGTTATGTCTTCAAAGATGAGCGCAGTCCGTTTGCCGATCGCGGCACCGCCGCCGCCGCCGCCGCCTCCGTCGTTGGCGTTGGCGTTGGTCGCCCCGAGTAGTTTCGCGACACCTCCACCGGCGCTGCGGCCGCAGTCACCGCCACCGCCGCCGCCACCGCCGTACGTTCCAGCAGCGGCGGGAGCTGCAGCAGCGGCGGCCTTGCACGACCATGCACTCGCACCCCCGCCGCCCCCGTCACCGCCGCCACCACCATCGTCGCCGCCGTCGCCGTCGCCGCCGCCAAGGAGCGCTCCAGACTCATCACCATGATTATCGCCGCTGCTGCTTTTCCTTCGCCCGTACATGTCGTAACGATCCCACACAGCCGCGAAGTGTCTTCTGTACGACAGTAGGCCCACAGCCATCGCCACCGCCAGGAGCACCACCACAGCGAGAGGTAGAGCTGCGGGGCGTACGATAACCAGGTGTACGGCAGCCGACGTGGAAAAGGAACGGTGACGGAGGGAAAAAGGGTAAGACGGCGACGGAAAGCATGCCGGCAGTCTGTTTGTCTGTAGCTATGTCGATATTGCAGAACAATAAATAGGTCGAGTATCGGAAAGGCCATTAAGGGTGTTCATGGGCGCGAACGTAGATAGACGACGTACGAAGATGCCGTACAGAAGGCGGGTAGGACGAATGAAGCAGATACCGGAGATAGAAGACACAGCGGGCGGGGCAACTCGAGGTGGCTGTGGCTCGGGGCGGGTCGGTCATTCAGAAGGACGCCGCGAACAGTCAGATCCCACTCGGGGGGGGCAACGCAGGGTCAGGCCAACTCGCCTCCTTCCCGCCCATCCTCGCTTAGTCAAACTACACACACACACACACACACACACACACACACACACACACACACACACACACACACACGGCCAGGGGTTGACAAATTGGATGGCTTTTTACAAGTCCTCCCAGCGTTGCAGCCCCAGGCCGATCCTCCCGGTTCTGCTGGCCGCCAGCTCCTTCAGCTGCATGAGATCCAGAGGGAGC